ATGATCAAGTAGGCTCGAGTAGGGTCAAGCTAACGGACTGCTCTTGGGGTCGCGGTCAGCATGATCTTAGGCCAAGGTCAGGCTGTTTTGGCGTCTACTGTGGGCCTTTCTTTTGGTCTGGTGTGGGCTTGGTTTCAGGGCGCGGTCAAGCTGTTTGGGGCTGGGGCTTCAGGCTGATTTGTGGCCGCGGTGAGGCTGGTTCCGGGTTCGCTGTGGGTCTGGTTTCGGGGCAGGTTTCGAGCCCGTTAACAAGCTAATTTGGGGGCGCAGTCACGCTGATTTTGAGGGCGCGCCAGTCAGGCTGGTTCGGATCTGTTGTGGCCTGGATTTGAGGCTACTTTTGGAGCCGCGATCAAGTTGGTCTTGGGGCGCGGTCAGGCTGGTTTGGGGCTCGTTTAGGCTGGTTCCGAGGTTCCCCTGGTCCTGGTTTGCGGCTGGTTTTGGGGCCGTGCTCAGGCTGATCTGGGGGCGCGGTCAGGCTGGTTTTTGTGCTGTGGTTAGGCTGGTTCCGGGTCTGCCAACTCTCAGCCTGGTTTGTTGCGGCTGGTCATGAGGCCGTGCTAAAAACTTGCAGGGCTTATCGTTTTCAAGTCGATATTCAGTGCTCACCCTACCACCAGTTGAAAATCGTGTTTGTTTCCGTGGAATGATCGGGTGTCCCACCATTTCTATTCCAGGACGGCCTCGGGAGCCCGCCCCCGGAGGTGCCCCTCGGCTTCGATGCGGAGCCAGAGCTCCTGACCGCTGAAGAGTGGCGAGCGAAGTACATCATCAACTCGGAGCAATACGAGATTTTGTGCGAGAGGCCGGAGGACCTGAGCCCGAAGGAGGAGCTCAAGGAGTTCCTGTTCGAGATGGTCACGAAGGAGATCAAGGTCGACCCCAGCCGGGTTGATCACGACTTCTACACCCGCTTTTGCGCTGACGAGGACGAGGCGAAGGGAACAAGAGAGGCCCACGCAAAGTATCTGAGGTAAGCGCCGCATTCCAGTCGTGCCGTGTCTATTGAGCAAGAATCGAAGCCCTCCTGCCGCCTTCAACTTCCATCGAAAGTGAGCGATCGGTGAACTTCAAGTCTGCAGCATCTGTTCAGAGCCAAAGTTTCCGCTCATTTTTGTTTCCTTCCGAGTCTTCAGCTGCAACGACGCCGTACGTCCGAAGTCTTAAATTGCTGCCCCTCTGACGCTTTTTGTGACTTGTAGGTTTCGTGAGCATCGCTTCGACGCCCTCGCCGCGGACCTGGACAGAGCACTTGGGCAGGTCAACGGGGAGGGCGTGATTCAGGAGTACGTCCAGGAAGTGCGCGACCCCGTCAACCGTGTGCCGTTTGCGGTCCGCGTGCTTGCATTCCTCGTGGGTTGCGAGGAGGGGGAGCTGAATCATCAGGCGGAGCGGTGGGAGGTCTCAGATGAGCGCGTGCAGGCTGCCTATGCGGAGCACATCGGGCCCAACAAGGCCCGTTTGAAGACCATCTTCAACCTTTACGGCTTTGTGCAGCAGACCACCAGGCCGTCGAAGGCTGCCGAAGGGAAAGTGAGGGAGAAGAAGGCTCAGAAGCGGAATGCGGTGGGGAACGTGCTCAGAGCGGGCCTCGGGATCGAGCTCCATATGGCCTCGAGGAGCGGCGGCAAATTCAAGCATCCCCACGTGTTGACGCCCGCCATCTGGTTGAGCCTGCATGAGCGGTACGGTTGGTTCAATCCGGAGCCGGTCGCTGGGGTGGAGTGCATGATCAATCCGAGAAGGTAGTGATTCATAGACGTTGTGGTCAGTGCGCCAGGTGAAGAGTCGATCAATATGCATCGCAGAGTGTACGTAGCGTCTTAGAAGGCCATATTTATCGTTGGTCTTAAGATTTATTGAAGCGACAAGGCAGATACACAATTCACTTAAGATTGAAGGATGTCGCAATGAGACCGGCCGCCTATGCTCACTTGACTTTGCCTTGAAAGCACGCCGTGCTCTACTCTGTGACATGCGTTGTTCTGAATGGTACGAGCTGAGCCGTCAATATGCACTGCTGCGAAAGCTTCATTTTATAGCATTATGGTGCAAATTGACGGCCCAACTTCGAACCAAACCGGGCGCTTCGTGGTGCTATTAATTAAAGCGCATCATAGCTCGGAGCCATCGGAGCCCTCAATTTGTGTTGTTGTGAAAGCTTCTTTGTATAGCACGATGGTGCAAATTGACGGCCCCCGCCCTCGAACCAAACCGGGCGCTTCGTGGTGCTATTGAAGCGCATCATAGCTCGGAGCCGTCAATTTGTGTTGTTGTGAAAGCTTCGTTGTATAGCACGATGATGCAAATTGACGGCCCCCGCCCTCGAACCATGCAAACCGTGCACTTCGTGGTGCTATTGAAGCACATAGCTCGGAGCCGTCAATTTGCGTTGTCGTGAAGGCTTCTTTGTAGAGCACGATGGTGCAAATTGACGGCCCGCCCTCGAACCAAACCGGGCACTTCGTGGTGCTATTAAAGCGCATAGCTCGGAGCCGTCAATTTGCGTTGTCGTGAAGGCTTCTTCGTAGAGCACGATGGCGACCTCCGATACGGGCTCTAGCGCATGCTCGGATCCCGCTTTGACTGATACGGTCTGCCAGATTGTGCTCAAACGTCAGTCTTAAAACTTTCAATTGCGCTGCGCAAGAGTTTTCCCAAGACGAACATGCTTCCTTGTCGCTCGCTCAATTTAGGGTGGACGTCACACGTACTCAAAAAATTGCTTGTGTACCTTGTGATTCTTTTGTGCATCATACTTCAACGTTTTGAATGGATGCAATTCTTGGCTATCGTCCTCAATCGCGCTTCGCAATCATCGAGATGGACAAGTCCGTCCTTGAGAGCGCTCGATCAGCTATCGTAAGATCTTACCAAGAGTTTGGCAAGCTCGAGACCACCTTGGATGCAGCGGCTCTGGCCGGCATGCGAGCTCTTACGGAGCCGTTCGACCTTTGTCATATAACCAGACAGCTCGTGCGGTCGCTTGTCGCTCAGGGGTTCAGCGCCTTTTGGGACAAATCCAGTTTGCATGGCCCATATACAATAAAGGTGAGCTGGCGAGCCGCCCTGAATCACGCGTCTCAAGCACGACGTCGGGCACGGAAGTTGCAAATCTCAACGACCCATGCAGACGTGCATGAAAAGGAAGTGTTATCTCCCACGAATTGCATGGAACCAAGAGCGGTATCCCCGTTACTCTCCTGTCGTGCTCTGAGCGTTGTGTGGGACGACACTGAGCCGGTTTTGGGCCTCGAGATGCTTGCAAACCCGCTGAAGGCTCGAGTGGCTCACGAAGCTTCTGAAATCACGTCGCCCAGATAACATGAATCAGCCAAAAGTGCCCATCTTTGAATTCTGTACACCGCCAGTCACGGTATCCAGCGCCAGTATAATTTCAG